ACAGCATATCTGCAATGACACAGATTGCATCAATCAGGTCTTTAAATTTCATGAGTTCTCTTATTGTCACAGTTTGCTCAACAGATAATCATTAATACATCTGTTTCAAAAGGGCCCAAACCTTTTCACATATTGTTCTCTAAAGGCTGGAACAAGCCTTCCTCTTCCAAGAACCCAAAATGTTCTCTGCAAGAAGTAATTTCTCCTTCGTGACTAAATGTAGCTTCTCTATAGAAATTGAATGCTCTTTTGAGGTGAACTCAAACATGTTTTCACCAGTAAAGTGATTTGGGATTTTTACTGTACGCCTTATGTTTTACTCTGATCTGAATCATGCTGTCAGTATCCAACTCTCATTGACAGTTACGTTGGGTTAAAGTATCTTTTCCAGAGAAAGATTTTTCGGTTTCAAATCTTTATTCTTTCCAACTTTTGCCTCCTTTATATCAAGTTATTTCTCGGTTAGTGGACAGTTTTTAAGTCTATCAGAAACAACACCAAATTACATTTTGTATAGCTCCTTTCACTTCGTCAGAACATCCCAAGGCCATATTGGTGATTTGGCCACTTCTCTGTTCAGGACTCTGAGGAATGGAAACTCACGTACAATATACAATGAATATTCTTCTACATTAGGGAGATAGTGGACAGTTAGGGAAGCAGTGGAAGCAGAAACTGTCATTTGTTTCAAGAACAAATTAGACAGATTTCTGCTAGAAAATAATATCGCGGGATACAGTGCATATTTTTGGGACACGACATGTCAAGTGACTGCCAGGGTGGTGGAAGGCGAATTAGATGGACCTTGGTCTTTTTTCCTAGCACATTCTTATTCTCTTATGTTCTTAGGTTAGGTTAGCTCACCCTCTACAGGTTGGTGAGCAAAGTTCTTCCTTGAATCTATTTGGAGAAAAAAAGGTGTGCGTTATAAATTAAACTCCAAAATGACAAATGCCTTATGTCATTTGCTGAAAAAACATCATATATGATAGTAGTTTGCACTCTATTTACTGCCAATTGTTGTTAACAGGCAGTGGAAGTGATTCCAGCCCACTCTGATATCTCAAAGCACAAGCTGAATGCATTTAGAGATGGGGTATTTGTCTTTACTGCCTCCTCTCAATTCCTCTCGATTTTTTATGTTTTTAGATATAAAATTATACTCTTCGTTGCAAAATAATTACCATCACTTCAACTGAAATTCAAAACCAGTTTCGGGCTAGTTTAAGAAGAAAACTGGAAATGTTGTAACACTATAAAATGTCTCTTACTTGTGTACTTCTTTCTCTCTGAAATTTCAATTGACTCCAATTTTGTAACCCTACTGTAGATCAAGATCAAACATATTATACACAAATTGATCACAAGCTGTCACGCAAGTGGATTCATTCAATTGCTGATCTCTTTGCTAATTCTAGAAAATTAGTCAAAATTCACTTAACTAGCAGTGAATATTTATTCTGGTAATTCAGCTTGGTATATTCAGCGTATATTCAGAATTGTTGACAAACAGCCTAAGCCTATAATTTCTTACAAACCGAATGCCTTGCCAGATTATTCAAGTGCTTTCAATATTTTCAGTTTTTACCGAAAAATAGTGTATAGAGATAAATTGCCAGAAATATTTGCATAGAAATTCCTTTGCATATTTTTACAGCACCGATTTGAAAACATCATTAATAATTATTACATGTTTATTTTTGTATTTTACTATATTTATGTGAACTGAATATATCAAAATGTCCACCGGGTTAAGTGCCAGGTTAGAACCATCTTTTTTCCCTCAAAGGGTTGTTAGAACATGGTTGCACAAGTGGCTGTTGAACCTCAGGCCACTTCATTTCAGAGGAAATTGGATAACCATCTGAAAAGCAACAATATTTAGGAATATGGGAGAAAAGCAAAACATTTTTTTAGAGTTGTTCCATCTTTGAGACGTCTAGAAAACGTGAAAAGCGCTATATCAAATTCAAGGAGTATTATATTTATTTTATCTATTGGATGAATTAGCATCATCTTGAACTCCGCCTATTCTGTAATTTTTATGATTTTGTAGACAGATCTTTAATTCATTGAATGTCCAAATAAATATTGTATATGACAGATCTTGGAGGGATTTCACTATACTTTGCACATGATATACATGGGTGTGAACGCTTTAGTACTGTCTCTGCCATATTCACTCAAGCAATTCAGAGGCTTTCAGCTCATTTCAGGGTCAATTTGACATGGCCATCCATGCAAACAATTTGTGCAGCACAGAGAAAATATATCAACTTTAAAGGAACTGTTATAACCTTGCTGATGAAAACTCCAGGGAGCAGAATCAGGGGTATCCAACACGGTGACAGTAATTTAGGCTGTGGTTACTTTTTGAATGTTGCAATATTGATTTCTGCTAAAAGGTTCAAAAACATAATGGAATTCATAATACCATCAGGTTTGATACTCCTCTTTTAGCTCTGAGCACATATCATCTGAAAAGATACTTTAACAAAAGGATACCACACTGGGGGGGCATGTGGGGGGATGGAGGGGGCTGGGTTTATGGCTCAAGGGTAATAACAGACAGTAGAAAAACAGGGCAAAAAAGAATTTATGGAGCACCATTTAAGGCCTGACAAGGAGTGGGTAAAGCACCACCTAATGCAGCAATAAGGCGTACAGGTTTGATACCCAGTCAATGCTGAGTTAACTAATCTCAGAGACTCCATTACACGTGCGTTGATATTAAGTGTGGAGAGAATCAGTGAGGGTTTTATTGAGTTCATGCCAGGAATAGTGCAAATTCTTCCTTGTCATTGAAAGTGTTCTGCGTGCTTGGGGAGAGGGTATTGCCAATGTCTACGCAAATTTGTCGATCCTGATAGACAGTGTAAATTGGAACAATCTTGGGGAATATCTGGTTCAAATGGTGAATAATAAGTTTATTTGATAGGTTTCCGCGAAAATGAGGTAGAACCCTGATTTTAATTTAGTTTTAACTTTACTCAACATTTAATTTCTCTTAACACATTTACATTATTTTTACTCTGTCCTTCATTCGGTGCCTTTCAGGTTGCCTTCCCGAAGTTAGCAGCATTTTCTGAATAGCAGAGAGGAATATTATTAATAAAGGCAATCTTTCAATTAATTTTTGTCTTTTCTTTGGTGGAGGCAAATTCTAAAGCTCACACACATGCATGAACATGTAATTTTTGTAACATATTGGAACAAAAGATGCTTTGGATCATACTTGTTCCTGTTTGGTTTAGTAAAAATCAATAAGGAGAGGGTATTCCTGGCTGAAGTGAATTTTATTTTATAGCATTCTGTGAAATTATGCTTTGGGTCACTGATAAAATCTCGTAACACTTATTTTTCTGTACTCATTTCAAACCAACATTTTCTTTCTTAAAACCCTTTTGGACCAGATGGAAACAGTTTCACTGAGATTGCATTTCAGCTTCATTGTATGACTACTGCACAACAGAAGTCACAGCAATCATAAAGCTTTCTCTGCTAAATTAAAGATGAGTGTCAGTAAGTATCCTGGTGGTACAACTCACTAGGTTTGAAATAGCCTCACAAACCTGTCAATTTACTCTTGCCCTTACTGAACTGGTTTAGATCTTCATGCTTGGAATGGTTCTATATTAAACATAGATCCCTCATCATTGGCAAACTCTGATCCAATCTGGCTGTAAATATAACATTAATAATACCAGAGAAATAGCATTTTGTAATGAGTGTCATAACACACATACACGCATTCATTACATCAAGGTTTGACTATGCAAACTCACTGCTTGTCGGCCTCCCCAACTCCTCCCTCCATAGGCTGCAGATCATCCAGAACTCTGCAGCCCGTGTCCTCTTCCGCGACAGGCTCCGTGACCCTATCACCCCCATCCTTGCCCGACTCCACTGGCTTCCCATCACACAGAGGATACAGTTCAAGATCCTAGTCCTCACTTTCAAAGCCCTCCATGGCCTTGCTCCCCCTACCTCTGCGACTTCTTAACCCCCCTCCCTCCACTCAGCAGACTCCGGCCTGCTTCCCTTCCCCCACCTTGCCCGCCCCACCATTAGCAGACGGGCCTTCTGCCACTCTTCCCTCATCCTCTGGAACTCCATCCTGCAGTCCCTCCGCCTCGCCCCTCCCTTGCCTCCTTCAAGACCCATCTCAAGACCCTCCTCTTCAACCATGCTTTCAATCACCACCCCCCCCTTGCCCTCCACCCTCCTCGATTCCGACCCCCAGCTCAGGTCCGAAATACTACTGTCCAGCAGGGATGGGATGTCCTTCCAACATGAAAGGCGCTACACACATGTAATTTTGTTGTTTTTATCATGTAACCAAGAGTCCCAGGACGTCAAAAACAACATGTGCATCTTTACTCTTGCAGCTCTTGTAGGACCATTGGTTCACCTCTTCTTCCTTGTAATACTGCCTGATTAACCTTTTTTAAATGGGTTGTTTGGAGGAGAGCACTTTTAGTTGTAATCTTGCTGTCTATTTTAGTTGAATATGTTCATCTTGCTATCATTGGGGTAGAAAGAGCATGTTGCGGTGTTTCGTGGCAAAGTCTGTATGAGGTATTTCTAGTTTAATGATAGCACATCATAGAAGCAGAGCAAAGCTTCCAAATTTATACACACTAAACATATATGGGGAAGCCTTTTGATGACCGACTGAGGTTATGAACTCATTGGAAAGTGAAGAATTAATAGTGTAAACCCACATCCTACCACTGTGTGGCACCAAATTTATTTCTTGAAAAAATTACGAGATTTCCTCAAGTCCATAATCTCTAGGCTCCCTATGGATACATGGAATTGTTCTTTTTCTTTCTTTCGCTTAGAGGCGGCATATAGTTCAATGGATGTTCTCATAACACGTCCAATTGGCCAGTCTTCAAAAGTAAGAATAAACAGCATGGAGAAGCCGTGAAGATTTCACTACTGACCCTGTTCACGCTTAATATTGAAGAAAATCGCTTCGCAGCACAACTAAATCAACTTGTTTTAATATATTTTAATAGCAAAGGAGTAGCATAAATATTTTTAGGAAATAAAATTTGTAGTACAAAAGAAATTGAAATAATGATGTGACTAATTAACTTTACACAATGGTAAATAGCAATGCTTGTTACACGTGATACACACCGACTGGTACATAAACAATGCTTCTTTTCCAATTGCAGCACTCCATTATCGTTCGGTGACTCGTTGGAAAAATAACAGTATGAAGTGAATAATGTATAGCTTAATCAATTAACGGGGTTAATTTTGCATTATTTTTCTTAATTGAGAAATCTCGAATGTCCATGGAGATGACCGTCAGGAATGTAAAGCTGAAGTGCACTCCTTTCAGCACTGTTTGCTTGGTCATGGTGTATGTCAGAGCCTTGGGACGTCCTCTCGGCGTGAAAAGCGCTATACCAATGTAAATTTGTTTGTTTGTTTGTATGTATGTCATCCACTCGCAGTTACTGGAAGGAGTTCGTATGTGGGTTTCTTAGTTAACAATTCACATGAATACTGTAAAATCATACGTCTATATATTCACTTTTTCCAGCCAGGGAATCAGCACTCAGTAGCGATCAAAAACAAAGGCCTAAGCTTATGTTTTTCCTTTTCCCCCCATTCTGTTTTAGAGACACTGGGGACATGGATACCTCAGCTACCGCCACCTTGGTTGAGATCATCTAACTAATGCAAGATCAGAGCTTGAACATGGGAACTCCCTCTTCTGTATGGATGAGAAACACAGTCCATTGACCCAGTGAGTCACTGGGAGATGAAATGAAAAATAGCATTTTCATTTAATTTTGTATGTTACAAATTAAGTTTTGCACATAGACAGAAACTCTGGTTGAGGACTTGAATACTAGTATCATCTACTAGATCTGATTAGACAGATCAAACACTTATATGAACATAATTTCTTCAAGGACTGTTAGTTTGATCGGTCAAAGATCATGGCTTCTTGAAACATAGAGGTTTCTTAAAATTAATACTGTAAATGGTAAAAAGAGATAGATGGCAGTTAGGATAGGATAAAGTAGTTAGGATAAAGTAACATGTATCCTTTCATAAGGTTGCAGGAATAAAGTTTAACAAAGAAATGGCACCAATGGGTAAAATCCTACCAGAGTCCAGATTTTCTCTGTTTATGTCTCATATCCAGAATTTGGTGAATTCTTGAATACAGCCTTAATTTTGAAGCCGTTTTCCTGAACATTATTTTAAGAACTACCAAAAAACATCTTCAAAGTTAAGACTGGATTCTACAATTTGTCAAGTTTTGGATGCTTTGAATGCTACCTTTATAGCATGAATCTAGACCCAAGTGGAATTGTATCCCACAAATGATTTAAAATGGCACGGAGGACCACCCTGAAAATGAATTATCCATTTCCTGTGACAACTTGGATTTGTTTAAAAGAAAGTGCACACGTTAAAAGTACAAACGACACAATCCGCATGACATGAATATGATACAGCAGGCAACAAAATCTATTGTTGTCAACACAAATATATCCAACAGAGTAGATAGAAATATCCAGACCTTCAGTTGCATAGGATATTAGCCGAGAATCAAGAATGTGCAGAGTATTTCCACAGTCACTGGGCAAAGTGTTTTGTTTTACAAATAATACTTCCAGATACTTTCTGGAACAGGATCAGTATTGCGGAGATAAATACTCCGATCATCCTCAAAAAAGTCTGCATGTTAAAATCACTTGAACAAATGTGGCTAAAGTCATTTGAAAATAAGGAGCTCTTTCGATGGAAATATCCACAAATATTAAAGATAGTCCATGCCACAGAATTCAAACCTGTGTTAAACGCATTCAAAGTGATGCCTCACAAATACTATGAATATCAATACTGTTTGAAATTTCTCTCTAAATTATAGGTTCTATTGAACAGTTTGAGGCATGTCACTCCATGCCTTCGCTTTCTTCTTGGCAATGGCCAGCCACGGAGGTTCTGCTGATCCGAGTGGAGCAATTCTGATGTTTGATGGGCTTTTCCCTTTCTTTTCCAGAGTCCCATCTTGCAACTTGGGCTGCAAAAGTGCACCTAATGAAATAGCAAAGAGATAATAGATATTAACCACATAACAATGTAAAATTATTAAATGATGAGGTCTAATTTGTGATGATAATAATAATAATCTTTGCATTTGATATAGCGCCTTATCAAGTCTTCGAGATGTCTCAAAGTGCTTCACAGAATATGCAGTAAAGCGAAATGACTATATATGGTGTGGGCGAAACCCATCCACCAATTGCACAGAGTCCCACAAACAGTTGTGGATTGAGGGACCAAATTTTTTTTTGTGAAGAGATTATTTGCAAACCAGATTCAATGCTGTAATTTTCTGACTATCAGATAGCAAAATTCAAGTCCTGCAAATCCCAAGTCAGTAAAGCCCGATAAAAAGGAATATTTAATCAAATGGATTAAAAAGCGGAATGGACAAACAGTGGATCTTAACTTAATGTTTCCCCTCACAACAGGTAATAGAAATTTGCATTTGAAATCAAAGCAAATATAGAAACATAACAAAGTAAGAGAGAATATCATTCACAACTGCTGGTTAATTCTGATGGCTTCTTGATTTAACAAATAGGTACAAATTGTTCCTTTTAAAACTGCTAACATACTTACCTGATGGAGCTAGTCTAGTCATCTTAGCTTGTTCTTCCTCCTTCACATTAATGTTAACGTCTTTGTTTAGAAAGCTGGATGTAGAGTTATTTTCTCCAGTTGTGTTTAGATGCTTTACTTCCTAAAATGAGAAAAAAATAGTTAATTTGCATGCAACACTTTGCAGCCCAGTAGATTTACATGACCTTTGAAAATGAATTTGGTTATACTGCACATTTTTGAAGTACTATTTGTTGTTATTGGGCGTTGGTTGGGGTTTAAGGCAATGGTTAGCAGAAGGCTTTTCCTACAGTTTCAACATAATAGTATGGTACAATTCAAACTTGAGACATATGTTTCTGGTCCATCATCAGTTATACTCCTCGAACAAAGTTGAAATGCAAATGAAACATTTATATTTGCTACATTTATATTTGCTACAAATATACAGTCACTGCTCTTTACAGTCAAATCCTGTGAAGTGCTTTGAGATGTTTTGATAAGACACTGTATCAAAAACAGGAATTATTATTATCGTTTCCCACTCCCAACATTCGGAAACAATCATACAATCCAACAACTTACTTATTAAAATGAGTCAAGTTTCCTTAAGATTTACTTCATTAAAATATAGTACAGTATTAATAAAAAGGAATTTACCATTCTGGAGTCTATTTGGACCAACGTTGTGTGTTCTGTGGATTGAGATCTTTGTTCTGTTCCCAAGTGTTGTTCTTGAAAGCCCTTTTGTTTTTGTTTAGCCATGGATATCCACACAGGCTCTGAGGTACTTGCTTCTGTACTCACGGTATCTAATGTGGTAGGTTTTCCCGATTCTGCCATCCTTTCTGTGCAAAGCATTTGTATTAAATAACAAGTATTTAACAAGGGTATAAAAACATTGGAGTCTGCTTTCTTAGCTTCATTGGTTTGAATATTATCAATCATACACAGATCCAATATGAATTGTAATAATGAATATGAAAACTTATGGTTCTGTTTCATAAATAAATTATTGTACTTCTTATTAAATGCTGTACATGTAAGCATTAGCAAATTAAGGCAGTTTAATCAAATCAACTTTTTACACTTGTTATATAGGAACCATTAGTTAAGCAAGCAGTAACTAGCCTAGTCTCACCATCAATCCAATATTCCCTTGATTGTTGAAATATAAACAGTTTCAAACAACGCTCAGAGATAAACTAGGATTTCAAACCTGAAGTTTTACTGATCCCCACTTTCATTTCTATACTTTTCTTTTCATTCTTTTCTTGAACAACATGTTTTTCTTGTGTTTCAAATTGGGATGAGGTTTCTATTGAATCACATTTTATTGATGGTAGATGCCTATTTTTCACTGACAAGGATCCAGATGCATCTCCATCATCACCCTTTACTGTCTTATTTAACAAACTTTCCGCTGTTTGCTTGTTCATTACAGGATTGTCTCTCTCAGGTGAGTTGGGGCGTGGAGCAATACACAGTGTGGTTCCCACAGGCTCTTTCTCATATACATTTTTCTGAAGATTACTTTCCGCAGGGTATTTGAAAAGAGGCGATGTTCGTCGAAGTCTAACACCAAATGGGTTCCCACTACAATCCAATTCAGTATTTATTTGTTCTTTCAAAACATCTGTGGAACATGGTTTGTCAGTAGAAATTGTTTTGGTTCCACCGGCTTTGATTTTCCAAGACCGGTTGAGATCCCCTTGATGTTTCATGGAGTTTTCTGTACCCGGGGAGGGTGACTTTTTGCTTACATTGTCATCAGGTTTGTTATCACAATGTTTAGACATGGACACTGACTGTGGACAATAATCTGTAATTAAACCTTCCCTCATTTGGGGAGTCACAGATTGAGACCTCTGCCAGGCAGAAGCAATTGAGAATTTGACTGATCCCTTATTTACTGATGTCCAATCTTCCTGTAATGTCTCACCAGTCTGTACCATAGAAGGCAAAAGTTCAGTCTGTTCCTGTTTGGAAGGTAGTTGTGTAACAGAAGAGTCTGACTCAATCGCTGAATCTTCAAGTGGAACTTCCGCTGTGAAAATAATATTGTTTGTCGGTTCATTGCACAGAGGCGACATGAAGATTGAACTGTTGCTCAATAAATTCTCTCCATCTGCCTCCGGTGTTATTGATTGCTCTGACAAGACATTTTCTTGGTGCATTTTATTTTCTTTGGTTGAATAAAATCTCTCAGCAGCAGGTCCCCTCACTTCTTTAGGAGTCGAGCAATTTTGTGGTAGCAAAGTAGTTGGAACATTTTCTTCATCATTAATTTTGTTATCCATTTCAGGGACTGATGACCTCCTGCAAGGCAACAAAGAATTTTCAACGTGCAAAGCATCCGAGATGCAATTGAGTGATGCTGGTTTGCCAGCACCAGAGAAAAACAATGTTTCCTCAGTGCTTCCGACTGTAACACTTTCATTGGGTTTAACTACAACTTTGCACTTATTTTGTATTTCACATAACCCCACTGATGTGTCACAAACTGTCGACATTCCCAGAGAGGGAAAAGGAATGTCTTCTTCATTATCTTCCCAAGTAGAATTGACACTTTCATTGTACATCGGCAACATTTTTGGCAGAAGACCCTGCAAGTCAGAAGTCTTGTGAGGATCAGGAACCTCTTCAGTTTCCGTTGCTCTTTCAGCATCTGCTATGTTTGCTGCCCCAATTGGGTTAGGCAACACCCTGCCATTCTGGGGATCTGTGGAGTTGAAATCAGGTGTGTCTTCAAGCACTGAACTGTGCCTGGGAGAGTCAACCATTTCTGTACTCTGACAATGTTTCTCTGTAGACTGCTCTTCAATCACAGGAGGCAACTTTGGACAAATCTCTTCGTTATTCTGAACATTGTTGTTTGAAGTGTTCTCTTGTTGTGCTAACAAGCCTGTTACATTTTTAAAGAAAGTTCTTTAGTTTCATCAAAAGCTAAATCACTTAAAAGAAAAGATTTCAGAAGGCCTGTACGTAACCTCTACCCCCTTCATGGAACCAATGAAACCAATGACTTATTTAGAGTGCTGGAAGTGAAGCAATATAAAGCTTAATATACACTTCCCACTTCTTATTGCATTGGCCACAGCTATTAAAAACGAATACCCCAAAATACTGGAGTAAGGCTTATGTGCTAATAAGTGGCACACCCAGACACCTGGATCGGAAGTTAGTTTTGTAATGTTATTAGAGAGTCAGTCATGGTCCATTGGGCTGCACAAAAGTTTTGAAACAATCGTATGGGTCCAGTGATGCTATCAGTTCACACCTTTACATTTATACTGCAGTGGAAAGAAATCAAAGCACCGCAACAAACATCTCTTCAAGTGAGGCTCTTTTGAATCACTGTCAAATCCAATATACATTGCAGTTTTGCTGTGAAATCCAAGGTGCTTTGCAGTAATACGTGCAGTATAAGCACAGCATAAACTGAGCAATGAAGAGGCAATGTTATAAAGATATGTAGACCGACCGGTAACGCACGACAAAAATAAAAACGTTCTGCTCTATTCTAAAAATACATAGCGTACACATGAATAATCTTTTAATTTTACAGATTTTATGTCCTGCATTCAAAGCACTTTTAATGACTCTTCATTAATGAATTTTAGCTTCAGTGTTTTCAAACATTTCGACATATTAGTTAAACTGATAGCGGAGATTTCATACCATCTGGTTTCTTGTTTGGTTCTGGAGGATTAGCTTCAGCAGGTGTGACCCGTTTTTCATTTTCATCTTTCTTTCCATGAAAAATGAATTTGGAAATCCTTGGACTTGCACAGTTTTCTTTCTGGTGGGGGTGGGGGGGCAGAGAATGTGGTTTGTATTAATATATATGTATTTGTTTCATAACATTGGCTTGGTGTTGCTTTATGGATTCTACATTGCCTCAGGAAAAGCTCCATTAAGAAAGCAGTCCTTTTTTTCCTGACCTAATGATCTTTTTTAATGTGCTTGATATCATTGTGTAAAAATAAAGTCAGTTAGTTTGGTCTTATACATTCAGTTTTCAAGCACTAATTGTAACAAACAAAAGGCATGCAAGTATAAGTGCATTATTTTCTTAAAAAGATACGTATATCATAATGATTGTATTTTTACGCAAAGTCGGACAAGACGTAATTAATGTCTAAAATTATACTGGAATCTCTTGATTGGTAGTTACGTTTTGAATGGTCAATTTATTGTTGGTAGTCTCAACCACAATAGAACAATTGTCTTGTTAATGGGTGGTTAGTGTTGACATAACTAAGCTGAGGCAACTGAATCTTTCCATAAATCCATTTGACTTGCTATATTTTGCTTTGTGACTTGATCCTTTAGCACAAAGCCAAGAAAAGCAATCAGAAGTCAGCTTTGTGAGGCTGTGAATTTGATTCCTGTGTTCGAAGAACTGAAACAAAATATGGGTTTAATGTGACATGATTAAGGTCGATAGAGATTCACTGCAAATCCATATTTTGCTAATAATATAACTCGAACGTGCTGAAGAAAACAGGGAAAATTACGTAAAATAATTTGACAAATTGCTGACGGATTCAAATAAATTGAATGAAATTACATAATGCTGTACGTGAAAAATACAACAGACATTCAATCATGAAATGCATTCTACCTTAATTATTATTGACATAATTAGATACTAAAAGGACCTGAAAGGTATTTGTGTGACATATCTAGAACCCAATCTACTTTTTTCACACATCTTATTTGAAAGTATGAAAAAAACATTAGTTCAGATGATGAGAAGAAGTGCTGACATTAATAACAGAATATGAGTTTCACTTGGTTCTTGCTAGTTAGGTGAGTCCACAAGCTTACACTAATTGGTTTCATCTGTTTAGCAAATGTCTTCTGTTTGCGAGGATTAACAGCGATCTTGTGCTTTGCTGCCGAGTTATCCAAGCAGGCCAGGGGATTAGCCGGAAAGCTGAAATCAACAGGAAGCGAGTCACAGCTTGCCGATGTAGGTGTTGTGAGAAGCAGTGGTGACAGGGGACTCAGAGGTCTGGAAGATGACCCTGAGGAGATCTGTAAGAGAAAAATGTAGGAAAAAAAACATTTCTCAGCAGCCATTCGCAATAAATCATTTTTATGTATATATAGTTGGTTCTTTGGGCAAAGTGCCAAAACTGCAGAAGAGAATATTTTTCCCATTTTGTTTCCAAGATACTCACATTAAACAGTCCCAGGTCAGCTATGACAAGGGTCAAATACAATGTGAAGCTCCATAAAACTGCCTGCAGCAATGAGCTTCAAGCCTTATTTTGGCCGTGGAGCTTTCATTGCCTACACTCCCTAGTTTTACAGCGTAGCCTACTTTATTACTTCTGAACAACTTGTACTGTTTATTAACAGTGCGGAGCTGATATTGAAGCATTCCTAATTCCATTTAGAAGCCTCGATACTTGTGCGAGGGAAACGACTCATCTCACTTTTTCACAAGATTGCAAAATTTATCCAAGTGTTTGACTGGTCAAGCCAACAACAGTGTTCATTTCAGGGTATTTATGGTTATACATTTATGAAAACTGCAGATACTTACAGTGAAAATCAGCCTGAAATGTATTACTAAGGAGAACATTACTCTTGTGTTGCCTCTGAGAGATAAAGACCAATTGCAGATATTAATGTCATCCGATTTTCAGAAGTTCTATGTTACATATTTTGTTGAGATTAAAATAGACCTTTCCCCTCCAGAGCCAACATCTGGGATGTTGCACATTAATTCCAAATGGGATACACACTATGAGAATTGTTGATTGCAGCCAAGAAACTTTCAAACCTAATCAAAACAACATCATGTTGCATCTGGTTGTCTAAAGCCATCAAAAGGCATTATATGACATAAGACTGAGAGCTCATCTAAGTATTTGTCAGAGAAAGGTAGAATCCTGAGCCAAGTGGAATAGTTACATATTTACCTGTTCTTCATCTTCACTTTCTGTTCCACCTAAACTTAATGAACTATGTCGCTCAACAGGGTCCGGAGACTGTGGAATGGAATCAGGAACAGGGTTAGTGCAAAGGGAAAAGGCTGGGTTTTGTATTTTTGCAGGCAGAGTTGGGAGACAATAGGATTGAATTTGTGGATAAGTCTGTAATCATAAAACAAGAGGAAGAAAATTCAGGATCTTTAATTAGCTTTATCTGAATGGATGCTCAGTGGAAATATCAGTTTCTTATCATCACTGTCCAGTTTATCAGATTCGACTGCCATATTTTTGCTGCTGGTGCAATCTGCCATCATTTCCCCCCAGCAGAGCAATCAGGAAAAAGAAACAGGATCTATACTCCCTGAGCCTAAACCACTCTCTCTGTGAGCAGAGTAGAGCTTGGCTCATTTGCAATTAAATACCAAATGCTAGTGAGTTTTTAAACATTGTTTAAGAGCTGGGAGTATCCCTGTCTATTTAGTACGAACTGAAGGTTAAGACAATGGCTTGTTCAAGAACAATGCAATTGTCATATTTTTTACAGTATAAATGGTTCTTTCATTTGCAATGCAATTATTCATTCATTATGACCGTATTCCAGAGGTGGTTTCAGGGGGGCACTCAGAATGAAATTGATGCCTTTTAAATTTAATTTATATTTCCTTCTTTAGTGTCAATTTAATGTGAAAGGAGCAAGGAATCTCTGCTAACTGTGCAATCTAAACAGGGCATAAAAATGGTATTAGTATCTTGAGAAGGAGGAGAGCATGACTTAATCAACTTCAAACTATCATAAAACCACAGAACATTTCCTCTGGTGCTTTTATGGCAGACAAAGTGGAGTCAACAGTTTACAATGACTGATCATTTTTCATGATAATTTCTCATGGGCCAGATTTTTTTCAGTGTAATTGCCAACCAGAGCAGTAAACAATGGGTCGAGATAAAGCAGGATACTTGGTTTTAAAAAGCTATTATTTCCAGGTCTGAAAGAAGTTTTAAAAGTGTGTGAAAAAACACATCAACTCAACAGGAATGTTCTCAATATGGATATTGCTGTCCCAGCCCTTTGTTAAGAATAGCAGAACGTATCGCAAACAAACTAACCGTTTACTCAATGAAGTTATTTTACCCTCAAATGTCTGCTCTTTTGTTGCAATACATTTTGAAAGAAAATATTTAATATTTGTTACAAACACTAAGGTGATAACTGCAACGTTTTTACTTACGGTTAGTAAGCCAATAGTTACACATGTCACGATTTTCAGCGCCTCATTAAGTCTAAGATGCTTGAGCTGACTTACACAGTAAAGCAGTTGGTAACTTACCCCCCATTGAGCTGCCACTGTGGGTCAAGTGAAACGTTTTTATGTTTTAAGGGAGATTAAAGAAGCACTGTTCACCTTGGCAGTGGAATATGTGAGAACCGTGTGAAGAGATGACATTTCTGGAGGACTTCTAGGTAACCCATCATCCTCTGAGCTGGTTCCCGCATCGTCAGTCTTTTTCGTGGAAATGACCATATCGGGAGAAGCAAGTCTGATGTTCTGTTGAAGTTGTAGCTATGGGAGGGGAGGAGACGAAAAATGTCATTAGTAAAGAGCATCTTACCAAGTCTCATCTTATTTGAAATGTTTGAAATGTTGAATTCTTTCCACGTCTTTCCAGGACTGGAGAAGTGGTGGAAGAACTGGGCCAGAGAGGAAAGGATTATTAGTCGCTTTCATAAGAAAGGTTGGAATTATTGAGTGGAAATGAATTGTTTGGTTTGAAAGATGAAATCAAGCGTGCTGGAAGCTGTTTTCGCAATGGAAATGTGACAATCTCAATTAAGATCAGAAGAGATGATGAGGTCACAAATGTTGATGGATCAAGAAGCATTGAAAGTGCAGTCATTGGAAGGCAACTGTTCGCTAGACTTGCAAGAGACATGAAGAAACCGTGAAGAATGGAAAGCAACAAGGTTATCGTATGATCTGAACGTTTTGGCACAAAACAAGTTATAACTGATCAAAGTGTATGTTGATCACCACCTTGACACATCCTCCCAACTTGAAATGTGCTATATATAAATGCAATTTGTTGTTGTTATATGCGTGTTTGGCTGTTCTTACATTGGAAGAAGACAAGTCTATTCATGTTCCCATTCCACCTATTTACTCTGAAACATTTCTAAATTTTTGGGAGTTCAACACTGAACTCTAAGAAAGTTAGGCGTTCTGCTTTTCCGTGAAGTGTTTTGCCTCACATCTGGCTTGTGACATCTCTCTATAAGTATAACTTTTTAAAATTCAACAAACTGTAATTATAGCATATAGACAGTTCAAGATCATAAATGTGGCAGAACAAGTGCTTATCCTGTGGGTGACTAGGAATTCTGACTACAGGGTCAAAGGGATACTTTACTTAAAGAGAGGCTTAATGTTACCGTTATGCTGCAGTATATCAGGACCCAGACATTAACTCAATATAAACTTAAAAAAGCAGATAATTAGAGCTTATGTATCTTATTTCTGTTCTGAAAAATGCTTAACAGTTACAGTGCGTGAGGGTACATTAAATGGTTTTGTGTAGTTTGAGAAGTGGTACAATTTGTGGTACCCTATTATTATTGACTTGGATGCAACTCCAAGATTAACAAATCCATATCAGATCCATAATACTCATATATGCAAGCCAAGGCTCCCAACAATAGCTTGGCACAGTTACCAATGTCAGAGTGGCTTTGGTTTCTTGAAAGGCACAGAAGCTTGCCAACTTATACAGAATCTGAAACCAAATCTAACTGAATTGATTATAACCCTACTAAAGTCAAATTGGCTGAATCTCGCATGAGCGATTTGGTCCAAAATAGAACTGAAATTAACTGAAACTCAGACATATTTTGGTATTTTTCCCATTGACTTAATGGGGAAGAATTTCTTAATTCGTGAAGATCTGGTTATTTGAAGAGAAGCCTGCTTAATGATCCTGATAAATAACAACAACAACCTCAATAACTTGCATTTAAATAATGGCTTCCACGCATTGTAGTGTCTCAGAGCGTAAATAAGCCATTTATAGCTGTTTGTGGGAACCTGCTGTGTGCAAATCGCCATATTGAACTACAAATATCTATTTCTTACAGTTGACAGCAATCACCTGTAGTAAAATACTTTGAGATGTTTTGACCTTATAGACGTCAGTCATATCAAATAAAAGTATGATTACGATAACAAGTATTTTTCTTCCTTATTTTAGGCTATGTAAAGCAAGCCACAAAGTCTGTTACACTATAAGATACATTTGTGTTTTAATCTTGCTTATCCTTCTTTGCAGAAACTCATATATTTGTGGGTGTTTTTGCCCACATCCGGAAGCCACTCCTCTAATGTGAAGAACGAGACTCACCAGTTAGAAAGAGCTCTTTTTTGAGCAGTGGCTTGTGACATTCTCGGGTCAAAATAACTTGCGAAAATAATTATACAGGTTTTAGCTAAAAAAAAATTAGTACGTGTCTCTATATTCCCATAAACAGGCATGACACGCTAGCAGCTTTTATTCAGTGATTTTATACATGATCCTCAATGATCAGTTTCAGCCAGGCCAAAATGTTTAGCTGTATGCAAGGCCCTGAGAAGCTGATAATGATCTCACTTTAAATTGCTTTAGTAAAACTAGGTTTAAAACCAAAACACCAGCAAGACCCATGAAACCATCCGCCAGTTCGTTTCGAAAAAAAGTCTTCAAAATGGTTTTAACCCTTTCACACCAAAAGTAACAAAACTGCTGTGAATTGGGGTTGAGAATTCCTTCTGTTTCTGGTTTGAAAGATGTGTGAGCTTGATTGTAAATCTCCAAATTTATTCTTTTCTTTATTGACCTCAAACCCCTCCCAAACACACCACACCTCCTTCACATGTGGAATGTACGTTAGAAGTCATTCTGTTCATCGTTGTGTCAAAATTGTAGAAGGGGAAGGAGGTGATTATAGGTGTGGTTGAAGAGTTAGGTCTTTACATGAAATAATTCATTGAATTAAATAAATTATAGAGATGATGAAAAGCACTCTCAGAGCCTTGACTCACCTGCAGTGCCTTCACCCTGCCAGGTAAATTCTCCTGGGACGCCGTTCCAACAGGCACGGTTTCGGAGACGGATAATTCCGGAATAAAGATGCTGTCATGTGACACTGCTCGGTTTCCCATGCTACTCTGAGAGCTGAAAATAATAATAATTTGGTCACTCAATCCACGACTGTTTGTGGGAACCTGCGGTGCTCAACTGGCTGCCACGTTTCGCCCACAAAATACACAATCATTTCGCTTTACCATACGTTTCGTAAAGCGCTTTGAGACGTCTCGGAGACGCGATAATGCAAGTTATCAAACGCAAGGATTATTATCATTAAAATTATAAGTGTGAATCAATATAATGCTGCTCAGCCCCACATAGTGAAGGAGATGAGGGAAGAGTAGGAGAAAGAATGAAAGTTCAGGCCGAACCATTAACCCTGAGATCGACTGGGCCTGCAGATTTCCCCAATCTGATGTTGTTTCTGATTACCGAGACCAGCCTCTCTGTACAGCTAACAGTAGACTTTCCTCAGTGAGTGTACTGTGAAGCAGCTGTCAAGTAAATTGTCCCGTTCTGCGAGTTCACTTTCTTCGTAAACCCAAGCAAACCGTTGCGGGGGTGGGGGTGGGGTGGCGGGGTGGGAGTGAGTAGGTGTTGGTGTCAGTTCCACGATCAGCCTTATGCTCCTCGTGGTGTAATCAGATAACCCAACAACACTTCGTAACAGACACAAAAGACGCCAGCTAATTACAGAACCTCTTATGAAATGCTTCACCCCTTTGTGACAGCGAGCCCCACGGGCTCTCTCTTACCCGGTTTCTTTCTCCGAGTCAGGCAAGGCTGGCGGAGGACCCGGGGTGCTGACATCACTGCTCGACTGACTTGGCTTCAGGCTGGTTTCGCTCGTGGGCGCGGCTGGCTCTTTTCTCTTCTTCTTGGCAAAAAAGTTTTTGAAGGTTTTAAATTTTGACTTCTTCTTCCCTGCGGGAAAGAGTTCAACTGTGACCAGCAAATTCAGAGCGATGGGGGCCGTTACCGTGTTACTTGTCAAGCGACGGCACTCTTGCCTCTTGTGTCAGAAGCCCTCAAGTTAAGACTTTGAGCTCATAGTCTGGGCTGACGCTCCAGTGCAGTGCTTTATTGGGGGAAGTGCTGCATTTTGGAAATAGTGTTCTTTTGGACGAAACATTAAACTGAGGCCCCAGTTGCTTGTTCAGCCGCACTTCAAAAATCTTGTCATATTATTCCAAAAAGTAAGAGTTTCTCCCACTAAGCCCCTTCATGGCTGTTTGTAGCGCATGCTGTGAGCTAACTGACTGCCAAGTTTACCTACAAATTGAACAGCAACTACCTGTGAAAGATCCACGAGATGTTCTTGACCAAGTAGGCGCTATATCAAAAGCAAGCCACAGGAATTTGCAAAACAACTGAAGTTAATACCTAGTATGGTCTCTGGAGTAACATCATATGGAATTAATCTGAAGCAATTAAAGAATACATTCTTTAAACCTGGAATAGTGAATAGTTGATTTATGACCCACTGAGAAGAAATGTTTCCAAAAGATTTCAAGGTGTTTTAACACATTAATCCAATTGATGATCCACATAAGGCTTATGTTTCTCCCTTGTATTCATATCCTGATGGTGTTGTCAGCAGTTCCTTAGAACATTTCAAACCCAAACTAGAATGTGTCCCCTTGCAGTAAACGATGGCAACATATCAAGTGAAAGTTAACAACAAATAGTCTGTCATTTTAGCCAGGCCATGAAAAGCAAGCGAACTCTCCATTTTTATTACCTCTGACAGAATAGAGATGGCAATAAATAACCTTAAGTTCTTTTTCAGGAACAATTTAATAAATAACCTTAAGTTCTTTTTCAGGAACAATTCACATCTAAATGTACCAAAGAATTAGGCACTGCAAGATAAATGTTGAACATTAAATTGAAAGCAAGGGTCAGTTAAATTGTGAATGTTATGGAAAATAGCTTAATTGATACAGCTAACAATTTGCATCATAAAAAGGTTTAATGAGCATGAGTCCCACACTAAAATGCACTATAAACCCCACGCGCGTATTATGTTTTTCAAATGTGATTCACATTTTGTTCTGATACATGCATTGTTGTATATCGCTCAATAGATCCCATCAGCTCGATTGTTCTACCTATTTCTTTTTAGGAAATTTTAAATAAACCTTTTTTGAAAAGAGATGTGGGCTACCAAATTCTGTAGTGCTTCAGATAGCTGCCTTAATAGTGTTCTCTAAGCTTTCCCTTTCTTATAACCTCCTCCCTGTATTTGAACTGGATTCACTCATGACGCGGTGACCATAGAGCAACTTTTTGCTCCTTCGATTGTCTCCTCTATGTCTGCGTTGTGGCCACTTATTGGACTGAACTGCAGCCGGACTCCAGCTGTGCCTGATTTAAAGGTTCACAAACCTGCCAGTTATGGAAACAAACAGTGATGTGAAACTCTGCTTACCCTGTCTGTGACCTGACCCACACAGAATGCTATTCACTGACAAGAATGTTTCAGAATCGAGTGTTTGCCACATGACACTTGCGCTTTAATTATATATCTTTGTACTTTGCTGAAGCACTTCAATTCAGAACGAAAGACATCTGCGACACAGCAGAAGGCCATTTGACCCATTTATTGCCTTGTTTTATTTTTATTTTGTGATATCTGAGCTTATGCTGTAAATTTAATATAAGGTAAGACTGATTTTCAGACACTGGTTCATTATGTCTCAATAAATTAATTTAATCCCCAAACAAAACAAGACTCAATTTTCTTTAATCATCTTCCGATGCATGTATCCCACCCACTTATTGAACACAGTTCCAGTTTCAGCGCCCTCAGATCAAAGAACATAACAGTCAAAATCAAGATACTTTTGAATCATCTTTTGAAATGTGCCTCAGAAGCAGGATAAACAGTTGTCTTTGCACTGGCCATTAAAGTGATGAACAGTAGATGACAGTATTTCCATTGATTGACCTGCAGTTAGTTTATCAGAATAGCTCATAACTGCCTATAACCATGCACCAACAACATGAGGCATATTATCAGTCAGGGTCAGCACAAATAACTGCTTTTAGGGAGGTAAAAATGGACCACGTTTCTGACTAAACTTGCTCCAAATAAACGCCATACTAAGTAATAAATTCCCTAGAGCAATTTCAAGTATATAATCTAATCTGGAGAGTCATATGGTCGCTATAAACTCTTTGATCTTTTACTGTTCTTAAAACCCAAGCTACCATCTTGAAATTCCTCTCAGGTATCCATAATTCTGTGTTAAGACATATTCTGTATTTATAGTAGGTATTAGAACAGCACACTGCTCCTAGTGTACACCCTTGTACTGCTATAAAAGATTAGCACATGGGGTCAATTTTGGTGAATTTTTTAATGGCATTTCTAAATAAAAAATCCAAGTTGGAACTACTTCTGGTGAGGGAATCCTGCTCCAAACATACAGCAATTTATATTGTTGTTACCACAAGGTTTTTGAGATTTCTAATTCAAGAAATCCCATTTACTGATGCTGCAAAATTGGCTCCAGCATTTGCAATGATACTGTTCAACAACAAACAACAACAAATTACATTCGTATAGCGCCTTTCATGTCGGGAGGACATCCCAAGGCACTACAAGGCCAACCATTATTAATCACAGTACTACAGATACTACAGTAAAAATGACAGCACATTTACTCCACAGGGGAAGCTCAATACAATACACCCATTTTTTTTCCATTGTAAAGCTCGTTCAGAAGTGATTACGTCTGATATTGCATACCTGGACTCTCCTCACTGAGCTCTTCAGCCTCTGAAGTCTGCCTTGCATCTGGCAGTCCTGTAGCCATAATATAGTCTCTGGAAAGAAATATAAAATCATCACTCTGTTTTCTATTCTTTAGCCAACCACGCAAATGCTGCTAGTGTTTGTCTGCACGATTCAACATCAAATGTACAGCTGTTACTGGAGAAAAAGCACACAAGCTGAAAGGATATTATCTGAAGATATTTTCATCTCCAGTTGGGCTAAACTGCACAATTGAACTGCACCTGAAAATATTTCTCTCCCTGCCGAGAGGGACTGACCTTTACAACGTTTCCTTGATTGTTAATTCTTAAGTGGTATGTTTCGATGTTATGAATGCACAAAAAAACAACTTTACAATTTCATGCGGCTGAATTCTAACCTTAAGCAGCAGATCTAACAATGAAAGCTCCCGGACAAATACTTCACATGCACCACTGGTGTTGGGTCTAATGTTGGTTTACTTATTGTTGTTCTCATCCTTCCCACCACCCACATAGTTGTGCGATTAGATGATTCAGTGATCCAGAAAGCAGACAGCTTCACAGACGCCACTGATGATGTTCCATGGGTGACTTGCCAGGAGGATTCTCATCCTCCTCTCCTCCCATCCCTGCTTCATGATTATTTTTACACTTCAGCAAAAAGATTTCCAGTTAAAACGCAGCCCTGAAAAAAAACCTGGGTACAGCAATAATAATAATAATAATCCTTGCATTTGATATAGTATTTTATGACATCTTCGAAAGTCTCAAAGTGCTTCACAGAATATATTGTTAAGTGAATTGACTGTATACTTTGTGGGTGAAACATGGCAGCCAACATCGCATCAAAATGAGATCCAAGCTCATGCTTCCTGCTGACAACTCAACACCCTTAAAACTCTAGCTTCTGAACTGCAACACTTCAAAGTTTAATTTCGTCAGTGTTCCTTTGTTTTTGGTGCTCAAATGTAACGTAGCATGTCGAATTCCCGTAGGATTCATTCCCCCTCAATTAGAGTATCTGTGTCTGATTAATTTGACAAGTTGATCCTTTAAATCCCAACATGTGCCTCTGAAATGAAATGTAACAAAACCGTCCACTACTGATCTCGCAAGCTTTAGTTTGCAAATGCGACCTGCGTCTATGTTTTTTCACGCTGCTGCAGAATCGATTGGTTTGCTAAATATTCACCGGCCTTATGATTTTCTTTTATACAAAAAAATCAGCTCAACTCTTCGCTTGAATAATCAATGAATCCTCTTGCGAGAAACAGCATAGCTCCTGCATCATATGTGGCCTTGCAACACGTGGTTACCATATGCTTTTGTTTTTTCCTAGATCTACTGGTATGCACTCTGGTCTCAAGTGCTTTCTTTGTTTGCCAATCTGAGTCAGTCCCCTTTCCCAGAAATGTTGCAAAATCATTTAAAGTGAGACTGAACATTCGATGCAGCTTTCAGATGCTTGGAAGAATTTTCTTTGCCAAAATCGGATTATCATCTACATTGCTCCTTAACCTGTCATTGAACAGAATAGTGGTACTGATGACAAAAGTCTGTTTATCAGTGTGTTCAGAGACAGCAATTTTTCATTTAGTTACCCACGAGTTTGCTAATCTTTCCTCTCTCCCGTTTTCTGTTGTGGAGACGATGCCATAATTGATGTCCATTGCATACATTATGTGCTAATTAGATATTCATTATTGACACTGTGTGTAAATTGGCTGCCACATTGGCCCACAAAATACACAGTCACACCACTTTACAATCTGTCCTGTGAAGTGCTTTGAGATGACGAAGTGATAAAATGCTATATCAAATGCAAGGATTATTATATTATTATAATTGCAATCCCATCATGAAACTAACTCTGACAAACTCTTAGCTGAGTGTCAGCTTTGTTATCTCAAAACAACTAAAGTCAGGAAGAAAGTATGGACAGTTTAAACTAGACGCTCAATATTCCACCCAGTCTTATCCCATACATCTATTTAACATTCGGTTCTAAGTTTCAAGTCAATTTCTTTTTAAGAACCAAAATATGACCAAATTTAAGAGTTTTCCACAATACTGAGCAATCTTCAATTTTGAGGCTAAATAGTCTTACAGGTTAAGATGAGATGACCTGCCTTCAGGTCTTATGATTCAATGAATAACTACGATTTTTTATTACTTCAGAAGACTCTTAATCCCTTCATCAGTACTAAGCTGTATTTCAATTTGAAAACAAAATGTATTCTAGATAGCTATAATATGCATGTCTGCTACAGTGCTATTTTTATTTGCAGATTCTACCAAAGTGTTGGACCTACGTGTAATTCTTTCAACTTAACGAAATAGGTCAATGAGAAGAAATGCAACGCAATGGTAAGAAATATAGGGCACTATTAGAGCTTTTGTGCAATGATATATGGTTGATGCAAACTTCCCTACAGCAAATAAAATTCTCCCATTATGTATTAGGCTAAAAGTAAATATTAACGGAATTGGCATTTCAATAAATGCTTTTTTAAACAGATCCATCATTAGCCATCATGTTCCATAGTTTACTCCTAGCTGTCCAACCAGTCTTTCCATCTCAATTATACCAAAATATTGAGGTTGAAGTGAACACTTGGGTGAGTTATTTCACCTACTATTATGTTTAGCAGCTTTGATCATGTGTATTTATTATGGGTTAAAAGTGTAGATCCAAGAAATAACAGACCCACCCAACCTTTCTTATAGTATGAGATTCAGGGGAGGAGTGGAATGGGAAGAATCACCTGCAGAAGAGCATTACTTATGAAATCTACAACAATGTGTTCATTAATTAACAATTAATAATGGTTGCATATTTCAACCTATTAACGTTTCATCTTTCAGTTATCTATCTCCTCCTCGAAGATTATAACTTATGCTGGAGGACCTGGGTGTGGCTTCCTAGGCTGCGACCCTCATTATCTCATCAGTACCCGGGCAACTAAATTCTTAACTTGTAAATAGCAATGAGGTTTGGAATACCAACGTTAATAACTAAACTCGATGGAGTCTGTGAAAATTCACATCTCGGTTTATTGGGAAGAAAATCTATCGCTTTCATCAGAAGCCTGAAAAACGACACTATACTGAAATATAAAGTGTACTACAGTGGAAACAAATACATTGTGCAAATATGTGGTTTTGATGTTAATGAGCTGCTTTTACTGATAAGGAACAGTGGTAACGTGAGTGGATGCATCACTGCACTAGTGCTGTAGATAAACTATTTTGGAATGTAACTTTGTAAGAGGGAAAAACATTATACGGGGAAAGAAAATATCTTAGTAAGTCACATTGGGACATATCTTTAAAATGACTCAATCATTCTGAGTGGACTGTAGGTCGGTTTTTCATTCATCAGTTCAGTGAAAATGCAGAAAACCTGCATTATTTGGGTAAATGTTCATAGAATCATAGAATTATACAGCACAGGAGGAGGCCATTCGGCCCATCGTGTCTGTGCTGGCATAATGTTGGCAGAGTTATCTTTCTGTGATAGAGAAAGTACACGTGGTGTTAACATTAATTGATTCCAATTGCTAAATTACTCTTGTTTACAGCAGTCTCCCAATGAATGCAAGTCAATGCAAATTTTAACACTATATCTCTAGTGACAAAACCTTATCAAGTTAAACAGGGAGTTAATTTTGTGGAAAACGATTATCATTGCCCTTCCTTTGTCTTTCTGGTTATTGGGGTCAGAGAGCAACAGAAGATCTCCATAATCACCAGAAACAGCGCACAAACAAATGCAGCACATCCCATTACAGCAACATGGATAAATGCACCGAGGAACTCAGCAATGAGCTGTCAAAAAATGACAGCGTACATTCAGTAGCTCACAGATATGCTGATGTGCATATTCCAGGAACAGTTCACACTAACACACTGTGCCCTCCAGTTAATTTCCTACCATTGAGGCCCTCCAGTTATTTGTAATTTACAGTTGACTGCAGAATGCATGTGCAGCATAAGCCAAAGATACAATTCCAAAATTGTGAACCATTTCTCATTTCCTCCAATGTTTTGCAAGTGCTAAACAAATTCGTGAAGCAGATATAAAACGTCACTTGATCGTTGGGCTTTTGTTACTCAGCATAATAATTCAGCACAGGCCGCTATCGAATTTCACATCGAAACAAGGGCGCACAATCTGGAAGGAATGTATAATTAGCTTTCACGTAAAAATATGCTCTTTGTTAAAGTGTTTTTTGTTGCTACTACTCAGGCTGAAGCAGTGAATGAACAAGATGTGACACAAAGCTTCCGAAACTAATCATATGTTTCTGCGGTTTATGTAGACATATAAAAAAAATTATTTGCATTGTGGACGCCAATTTTAAACATTCCCTTTCAGCCTTCTTGGGACATGCCTGGTCAAATCAAACTTGCAAACAGATCCCAACATTCAGCTTGAGGTTTACCTGCCAAAAAATGCTGCACTGTTTTCCACTTCAGTAAGAGTGTGGAACAACAGCTCTTCTCTCTAGTCACATAGTTCAGAGAATGGCTGAACTAACTGGAGGCCCGCAATGCTCATCTATGAACTGGGTAGTTCTGCACCACTGGGTTGGAAGCAAATCAAAGTCCAGAAAGGGCACTGACCAGATCACAAAAGTCAGTGTGAATCAATCGAGGCTCCAGAACTAAACCCACATGGGATTGTTTTCAGGCAACACAATCAAACTACAACCTAGTGAACAAAAAATAACACAACCATCTGAATGAAATCAAGATGGGATAAACCGATCTCAAGAGTCATGTAATGAGAAGCTGAATTCTAAACAAGGACAGACAAAATAAATAAATGAATGCAAACAAACAGAAATGAAATGAATCAATTGCAATGTAAGGACAGCAATTTGATTTGAAATAAATGACTTGAAGTGGAAGTTATCTATGCAAATAATTTGTGTACAGCAGAAATATTAGCTGGATGAAGTGAATCCATTTGGAAGAAAGTGCTGCCCCTTATCAACTGTATGTTATATAATATCTAGAAAATGCTTACTTGTAATGAGATCTTTTTTAATCTGATTCTTGTAAAA